ATGGAAAAAACAATTACAAACTTTATATGGAAAGGAAAGAGACCCAGGATAAGCAAAGCACTGTTCAAGAAGAAGAACAAAGTTGGAAGCCTCTCACTCCCTGATTTCAAAATTTACTATACAACTACAGTGGTCAAAACAGCCTGATATTGGTACAACGAAAGATACATAGATCAATGGAACAGAATCAAGAATCCAGAATGTACCCAACCACATACAGCCAACTGATCTTCGACAAAAGGCCTAAGTACATTGCATTTAGAGGAGATAGCTTCTTCAGCAGATGGTGCTGGCAGAATTGGAATTTGATATGCAAAAGATTGAAACCTTTACCTTATGCCATATACAAAAACCAACTCAGCATGGATTAGAGACCTAAATGTGAATCCCAGAATTATAAAGGTCATCAATGAATAAATAGCGACAAATCAAGGGCTCTAATACAGGGCACACACAGACTACCAAACGTTGCAAAAATTGTACAAACAAAAGATGACAAAATAGATGATTGGGACATACTAAAGATTAGAAACTTAGGTGCATCAAAATACTTCACCAAAAGAGTAATGGGAAAAAATCTTTTGCAATGAAGTATCAGACAAGGGAATAATTTCTAAAATCTATAAGAAATTACAACACCTCTACAAGAAAAAGACAAACAACCCATTAAAAAATGGGTACAGGACATGAACAGGCACTTCACCAAGGAAGATATTTGGGAGGCTAACAAATAAGGAGCTCTGGTAGTATAGTGGTTACAAATCCGGCTGTGAACTGCAAGGTCAGCAGTTCAAAACTACCAGCTGTGCCACAGGAGAAAGATGAGGCTTTCTGCACCCGTAAAGATTTACAGCCTTGGAAACCCTGTGCAGAGTTGCTATGAGTCGGAACCGATTCCATGGCACATAACAACAATAACAAATATATGAAGAAATGTTCACGATCTTTAGCCATTAGATGCAAATTAAAACAACAATGAGATACCATCTCACACTAGCAATAACAGCAAAGTTCAAAAAAGCAGAAGGACAATAAATGCTGGCAAGGATGTGGAGAGACTGGGAACCTTCTACATTGCTGGTGATATTGCAAAATGGTCCAACCACTCTGGAAAACAGTATGGCACTTCCTCAGAAAGTTGGAAACAGAAATACCTTATGATCCAGCAATTCCTCTACTTGATATTTATCCACAAGAAATATGAACCATAACACGAATAGATAAATGCACACCAATGTTCATAGTATCACTATTCAACATAACAAAAGGATGGAGATAACGTAAGTGCCCATCAACAGCAGAATGGATAAACAATTTTTTGTACATCCGCACAATGGAATATTATGCTACCTTGAATAAGCTACCACATAATATGGATGAACCTTGAGGACATTATGCTGAGTGAAATTACTTAGTTATAAAAGGAGAAATATTGCATAAGACCATTATTGTAACAGCGTAAGAAAAAAATACCCACACTAAAGGAAAAAAAAAATTCCTTTGTTAGCTATGGGGGGTGGGGACAGGAGGGTGAGGGAGAGGATGGTAGAGCACAGGGTAGGGGATAGACACATGATAGTTCAGGTGTTGGGTGGGGCAATACACAAAGGGGAGAGGGATGGAAGAACAAGGTAGATAGGAGAACATTTAGGCAGGTTTGCATGGACTAA